TATATATATATATATATATATAATATTTCTATCAAAATAATTAAATCAACAATTTTTATTACTGTTAATATTGTCTTTATCTTTCAATCTACAAATTTACTGTTATAATTATATTTTTAAAAATTTTAATTTATTTAAACAATTATAATTTATTTTTAATATCTTTTTTTTATTTTGGTAGACAAAATTACTATTTTTAATAAATAAAAAATATATTACAATCAATCAATATTAATATATTGAAATTAGAAAATAACGTTAAAAGTAAGATATTAAAAATATGTTATAAGTATTTAAGTGAATTATAATATTTTTTTTAGAAAAGTACAATATTAAAAAAGTTTAACAAATTGAAAAGCAAGAATAAAACTAAATGGAATAAAAATTAATTATTAATAAAAAAAATGTAAAATTATAAATAATAAAAATCAATATTCATAATATATTAAAAATTAAAATTAAATTACAAAAGCAAATTATATAATAATTTTATTTATATAAAATAATAAATACATTACTTAATTAAATTATACATGTAAAATAATTTAATTATCTTAATTTAAAATACTATTTGTTAGCTTAATTATATTAATTAATATTTTATATTTTGTTACCCATTTTAACACTAAATGAACTTGAATTGAATATAAAAATTAAAAAAAAAATTAGAGATCTAAAAATAATAAATAAAAAATTACAAAAGTTAAAACTTAGTAATATATACAATAACTTAAAAATATATTTAAGTATTTATTTTTAATGAAGGCATAAAACATTTTTTTCTAATGTTTGCAGTTTTGGATTTGACTACATGACAATGTACTTTTTTCTAAAATTAATTATAATATTAATCATTAATTTTTTAATCAAGAATTATTATTCCACTTTATTCTTTAAAATACAATCTTTTAGTGAAAATAAAAAGAAATAACTAGTAGATAGCTCTCACATACGCGTTCGGATCCTCTAGAACGAGTCTTCCATTTACGGTATAATATCTATCATTGGATTAATCCAACTGAGAGACTCAGATAGCTCTTGAATTAATCAAATGGTCCAAATCCTATAGTAGATGGCAAGACCGATGTTGAGGAATCCTGCTCACATATTTGATATTTCTGTTTCTAGTGGCATGTGAATCTTGATGAGGATATCCTGTCCTAATACGGCATGTCAATCTTTACAAGTTGCACAACTTTTGATAAGGATATCCTGTCTTACTAGAAACAATTGCTATGACATGTTGATGACAACTTTCACACAATTGGGTTGTTTCACTAGCTCAAATGCTTTGTGTATATCTCCCAAACTGACCTCATGTGTGAAGAGTTCTTGAAGAGGGAATTCCTATCAAAAACGAAAAGTAGTCCAACACCATTATTATTACACACTTGAATATCAATATTAAAAAATATGCAAGAAAAAACCTTGACAGTGTATAGAGGATAACCTTTTTGTGGCATTTGTTAGCTATAACGGAAAGATCTGATGTGGCTTTAAGGCCTCCAAAAATCGAACCTTTCAGAGTTCTACCAAGCAGAATGGCCAAAAGACCCAATGGCAAAATAGGTTCAGTTCCTGCACCAATTACTATTGCTTTACCTGTTCCCTGAATGTACAAAAGACATTATCAGGAATGCACAGGTCTAGAAGGATGAGAGAGAAAAATAACGTGCATAGATTAGTGATAGTGGAATAATGAATCATATGTATCTCAATGATCAACAGTTATTGGACCAACCAAATTGCTTTGGTGAGGTGAACTTACAACTTTTGTTGCTTCCAAAGATTCAGTGATTAAGGTTGGAACTCCAGTACACTCAAATGAATAGTCCACACCCATTCCACCACTCAGTTCCTTGACCAATTCTGAAGTAGATTTATCAGAATCACTAGGATTTATAAAGTCAGTCATTCCAAAAGCTTCTCCTTTTTCTCTCTTCTTCTCATTTGTATCAATTCCAATTATCCTGGTTGCTCCATGCATTTTGGCTCCAATTACAGCCTGCAAGCAACACAAGTCACCAGGTCATTATCATCATGAATCGAAGTTAAAAAAAATTGACACAAACATATAAGATTATTTTAAGCATATATATACCCCTAATCCAACAGCCCCGAGACCAAAAACGGCTACAATGGATCCACTTTCAACCTTGGCTTCCTTCCAAGCGGCTCCAAAACCAGTTGAAAAGCCACATGAGATGAAACTGGCATGGATTGGATCAATGGTTGGCTCAACCTTGAGAACATAGTTGGCATCACTAACCATGTACTCTGACCATGTAGAACAACTTAAAATATGATATAGCCTCTGTCCTCGGACGGACATCCTTGAAGTGTTATCTGGCTGTAGACCGGTCCATCTAACCGGGTATGTCACACACAAATTGGTTTCTTCTGAAACACAATTCTCACATTCTTGACACTCGCCTATGTACGTGGGAATTACCACATCCCCTTCTTTCAGATTTGTCACTTGATCACCAACACTCTCTATAACACTATCATTAATGCAATAGATGAAATTAATAGTGGACATAGGACAATGTAACAACAAAAGTCCAATTTGTCAAGCTTTATTAATTATGATTTTAATGATGATACTGTGGTATAAAAAGTTTTACATAAAAAATCAATTAGAAATCACAGTTTATACAATCTTTAAGATAATTATTATAAAAGTTTAATAAACTTATTATCTATGTGACGGAAGACAGAATCCGTTTTAATATAAGTTAGAAACACTTTATTAAAAATATCTCTTTATTTTCTATATAGAAGATATTTAAAGTGTTTCTAAACATATATTCAAACATATTTAATACGTAAATTCATTTTACACATTCCATTAATTGTTACGTACCCAACTCCTTCGTGTCCAAGTGCAATAGGAAAATTGGTCTGCAAATTAGTTTGTTTTTGGTAATCCATTAGCGGAAGGAGGATGAAGAAAATAAATTGTTTGAGAAAGAAAACAAAGTCAAAGTGAAGGCATGTTATTGAAAGAATTCTAACATGTGGAAATCCTTTTGTGCCTGAGATGTCTGTGTGGCATATACTGGCACAGAGCATCTTAACTCGAACTTCTGTTGCTTTTGGTGGCTCTACTTCTATCTCTTCCACCGTCACTGGTTTTCCTATCCCCCAGCATATCGCAGCTACAATACTCAAACCAAAATTTATGCATATTATTAGGCAAATGAACCGGAGAAGGAGATATCTTATCTTAACTACTACTCAGAAAGTGAGAAGTTGCATACTTGCATAAGAAACACGAAAAATAAAAGCGTTCAACATAAAACATGCTTTTTAATACCTTTGCATGTAATAACTTGTGGGATTTTTGGCATTGTAAGCAGTTTCTTAATTAAAGCAAATATCAGAGTCGAACCGCAAAGAAAGGGAAAGCGGTACTTCAGTTAATAGGTTCTGCCGCTCGCCCTTTATAACAAAGAGGAACGACTAAGTTTCGAATTATTCCATCATTTACGTCTATAAAATATTTTTTAATTTTATCATTTTAAAGTTTTAAGTATTCCAAGGATTTTTTGGCCAATTTTTTTTTAAAGATGTATCATTTCTATATAACAAAAAAATAGCAACTACAAAGTACAAATGGTAAGAAAATTTCTAGGCTTATAATAAATTTAGAATTTCATTAGGATTTTTTCTTTTGAGGTCCTCGTTAGCATCAATCCGTGTTTGTAAAGTGTTTATTTAAACTAAATATTATTTTAGCTCGTACAAAAATTAAATCTGAAAATATCAAATCTACCCGTGTGTTAGAATAAATTTTATTACTACTAGAGACTTCATTAATAGTTGGAATAAGTTATAGATCTTCTAGATTATAATTTTTTTTTAATAACAGTTAGGGGTGAGCATTAAACCGACACCCGAACCGAACCCGAAAAACCCGAAAAAAAATATTGTTTTTGGGTGGGTTCGGGCGGGTCTTATGGGTAAATCGGGTTAAAATTTTGATTTTATACAGGTTATATTGGGCGGGTTCGGTTTTGAATTTTTAAATCCGCTAAAAACCGAACCCAACCGAAAATGAGATAAGTTTAAATTTTTATTACTTTTGTATAACTAAACAACAATGGTCCAAATTTAAAAGTCTAATATAGCCATCAATTTGTAACTTATTTTTTTCCTTTTTCTCATAACTTAGATATTTATTTTGTCTTCTCCTTCCTCATTCAACTTCTCAACACACTAGTCCATTTTTAGAGTTATCTTTTTGCTTCTTTCTTTGTCTTTCTTTTCCATCTTCTTATCTCCATTTTGAGTACATTTTGTGTGACTGTGATTTCTTATGGTTTTGTAATCTAACTTTATATTTCTTTTCCATGTAACAACTATGAATTTTGTTATCTTTTATTTTTGCTTCTTTAGTTTGTAAATGTTTCAACTACGAATCTATTTACACCATCTATTGTCACCTTCATTCTATTTTTATACACTATTTTAAAAATATTTTTTATCGTTTTAAGCTTCATCTTCGTTAAGATAAATTGGTCTACAAAAAAATTCAAACCCGATTATACCCACCCGCTTAAATCCGAATCCGTTTCAACCCGAACCGCCTCAAATCGAAAGCTCAGTCGGTCGGATATGGGTCACATTTTTTCAAAGTCGGCTTACAACGGGTTGGACATTTTTCACCCGAACCCGACCAAACCCACCCGTTGCTCACCCCTAATAACAGTGCTACTAAACTACTACATATAATTGAGCTTTTTTATTTTTGGTTTGAGAAATTATAAAACGCGGAAAAAAAAATGCCGAGTTAGTGAACACTAGCTAGAGATGGCAACGGGACGGGTCAAGTACAGGAGGTACGGGTTTCATGATACTCGTCCCCGTCCCTGTGAGTCAAACTCATTCTCGTCCCCGTACCCGTATCCGTACTCGTCGGGTATATGATTTTCATCTTCATCTCTGTCCTCGTTGGGTATCGAGTATACTCGTACCCGTCAATTTTTTATTTTTTATTTTTTATTTTTTATTTTTTATTTTTTATTTTTTATTTTTTATTTTTTATTTTTTATTTTTTATTTTTTATTTTTTATTTTTTATTTTTTATTTTTTATTTCTAAATTGAAAGTAAATATTAAATTAAAAATAAGAACAAAAACGAGTACGAGTACGGGTAAGAGGCGAGTAAGTAAATATCCATACCCAATTTAATATATAAAGTTTTACTCGTACTTATACTCATATTCGATCAAACTGAGTATTCCCTGTCAAAATTAGGATAAATTCAAGTATTACATACATGTACGGATATATTTGTCCACACCAACTGCTAAGTCATGCATGAAAACATCCGAAGCAAAGAAACAAGGAACCAACAGCAAGGCACACATATAACTGAGTTGTTCTTTTTTTTTTGTATAGACAAAAATAATGGAGTAGTACTATTCAGCAAATTTGTTTTATTTTGTTATGAGGGTTAGATATTTTTAATGGGGTTGGAACAAGGACGGAGCCAAGAGGGGACCTACGAGTGCCACGGCCCTCCCAACAATTTTAATTTTTTTTTATATACATATATATTACTATATGGCACCCCCTATTTTTAATATAAACTCATATGTATAATTAAATGAATAACCCAAATTTATTTTTTTATTCAACTTTTGGACTTCTGGTACGGCCTGCTATGTGGTATCACTTTGGAATTTATTCTCGGCCCCCCAGTATTGAAATCCTGGCTCCGTCCCTAGGTTGGAATACTCCTTGTCTTGTCGGGGTCAAGGTAAAATAGTACATTTCTCTTTGCTATCGAGCAGTGTTTGATTATTATTTGTTTTTTTTGGATGAGAAGTGTTTGATATTATCATTATTTTTATTTAAATTATTTTAAATTTTAAAAATATTAAATAAACTAAATATATTTTCTTATATTCTTATGAATAATATTCCAGATTATATTTTTTATTGAAAATACGATTCTTTTCAAAAATAAATATAAAATTCTCGATAATACAATCATTTCTCCAAATAAATAATAAATTGTAAAACAAAATTAAAAAATCGTTGTCTTTTATAGTTTTTCGACTGCAATCGAGTTTTTTTTATTCATAAATCACTTTTATTAATATAAATTAACTAATAATATAAAATTATTTTATACTAAAGGATTACTAAATCACTAATGGATTAGTTTAAAACTCATTTGTGTCATTTTATTTTAGAATATTCGTTTAAGCTTATAAAAGAATTTAAGCTAAGAAATCGATTTAAATGTTTAATTATTCCAAAATATGTAAATTAAACAAATATAATTATAAATCAGTTTCAATATAAAAAATATTTTTATAATTATAATCAAATAAAAAGTAACTTCAGTTTTAAACATTTTTAAAACTTAAATATGTTTTGTAGAACTGTAAATATGAAAATATTAACTATTAGTTCTTACTTCTTAAAAGAAATTTGTATCATTTTAGTCTTTCATCCTTTAAAATGAGTTGTTTAATTTTTATTTCAGAAAATAAAAGATAAAAGATATTTTTTTCTGAAAAATAAAAAATTATTTCTAACATATTTTAAAAAATAAGAGTTTAACAAGAGATAATTTAAAAGAAAATAATCTTAATTATAAAAATTATAAATACATATAACCTTTTTAAAATTATTTAATAATTATAAAATATATTTTATGTCTACAAATATTTATTTATGAAAATTTTAAATATAATATAATTTATATAAATTATTATAAATTTTGATTGTATATAATAAATATTTAACATATAAAATACATACACTAAAATGGTTATTGGAGTACAGCTTGCAAGATAAGAAGCCTGAAACTTGAAGGCTCTATTTAGTGATTTGACAATTGTCAGTTGTCAGTTGTCACATGATACACGTGTTCTTACTTTTTGAGTAAAGACGAAAAACAAAAGACAAAAAATCATTTTCTTTGAAAATAAAAAACAATACATTAAATATTAATTTCATTTTAATTTTTAAATTTCTTATGGATATTCACAAAGATCTTCCATTGTTTTTTATGAAACTCAACAATTATATTTGATGATCGAATAAATTTCATATAGTATTTGTCGTGCAAGAGAAGGCTACAATTCAAGGTTGTATTTAATTATTTCATATAAATCAGTATTACTCACATGTCTTAATGGCTTTTTAACCTAAATAAAATAAATTAGATGCAAGTATTTTGAATTTTTTTATCATTAAAAATAAATAAATTCTTTAATAAAAAATTATCAAAAATGATTTTAAATTCATATTTAAATAGGTTCGTAATAACGATAAAATTTAATTGGAATAGTCTATTGTAAAGAAATTTATTGAAAAAATTTAACAAATTATTTCAAAATACGTTTTAATACACTTTCCATTGTGGAATAAGAGTCCTGTTAAATACATATCTTAAGATGAAATGTAATTAATATGTTTTTCTTCTACATATTGTAAAAAAAAAATTGTTTTATATAATTAAAATTTATAATAAATAATTTATATTATAATATAAGATTATTTTAATTATTAATAGTTTTTTTTAAATATTAAAATTTAATTAAAAATAAGAAACTTAAAAATTTAATTAAAAGTCGATGGAAAGGCTACAACATCAACTTTTGACTAGAGTAGGGTAGCAACCCAGTAATAGAGCTAGACGATAACTCATAGCACTATCACTTGTAGGTGAGATTGAAATGAAAATAATTCAGTTCGGGATTTAATATGACTTATTTATTAAAAAAAAATATATTTAATAAAAAAAATTAAAACTTAAAAAATCAGGCTTTATACTTTTAAAAATATCATATAAGTTTGATTGATCAATTTATTTAAAATATAAAATAATATGAATTTTATATAATTAAAAAACTTAAGCTTCTTAATTTTAATTAAATTTAATATTTTTAAAAAACTATTAATAATTAAAATAATCTTAAATTATAATATAAATTATTTATTATAAATTTTAATTATGTGAAATAAAAATAAAATATTTTTTTTACATTACATAAAAAAAATAAAATATTAATTACATTTTATCTTAAGATATGTATTTAATAGGACACTTATTCAACAACGAAAGTGTATTAAAGTATATATTGAAATAATTTGTTTTTCAATAAATTTCTTTATGATGGACTATTCCAATTAAATTTTATCGTTATTGTGAGCCTATTTAAATATGAATTTAAAAACATTTTTGATAAATTTTTCTTTAAAAAATTATTTATTTTTAATAACAAAAAAATTCAAAATACTTGCATCTAAATGGACTACGATATTTTATTCCAAAAGAGAACACACCGAAGATGGTATCCCTCTTGTCAATCGAAGACTGCAGCTAGCTAAAGTGTTTGCTAATCATATATGTTGATAATAACCAATTACCAGAAAACCCTTCAGTAAAATTATATACTTACATATATGAAAATATGTATTATATATAATGTATATAAAGATAATGAA